CAGTTCTTGTGAGGTACCAGCAGTCCCTCTTCCAGGAAGCATGAAGTCTGTGGTGCCAAAATCCAAATCCCTCACATTGGCACCACCTTCGTAGACAGTAGTTTACCTGGAGTATTTTACTTTCCCTTTGTATTTCTCTTTTCGTAGGATGGACGAGAAAAGTACATGGTCCCAAAGTTATTGAGTTTCCTTCTGAGAGTTTGGTGCAATTTCTTTGTGGACTTCTTGTTCCCATGTAGTTGAGAAGAAAGGAATATGTGCTTGTGGGTTTTATGAGCGATGGCAATCCTTCTGTCATATTTCTAATCCATCATCCTGGAAGACAGCATACCTAGCAGATATGTGGATTTTCTCAGCATATTTCAATTTCAATCAACTCTTTTCTTCTTCTTTTTGAAGGGTATGAATTCAGTGACTCTGCTTGGCTGAGTGTCAGCCTCTCATGTCCTTCAGCAGGGTCTCCTGTACGTCTTCCTCTGCATGCTGTCTGCCATCTGAAAGAGGTTTTGCAGTTCCCCTTGAGAAAAATGTCTTCTTCTTTTGCTCCTAACTGTGACTCTTTTCCATAGTGCTCCTTCCACTATGTTTATTCTTTCCTCAGCATTCTCCCATCTGCTTTGTCTTGCTTTTCTTCCACCTCGTGCTTCTCTTGACTGCTGTTGCTGCAGAGTTCTGTCTATGTATTCTTCCATCTTCTCTTATAGACCTAAGTCTGGCCACTCACTGCTCCAGTTCTTTCACTTTTCTTCCAACAGTGCTATCAAGTTGCACTTGCAGCGTGCATACCCTGTGTATTCCTTGTACATCATTGTAGGATTCATTTATTTATTTTATTCGATTTTTACCCGGCCCCTCTAGACAACGTCTACTCGGGGCGTCTTACATCAGTTAAAACAAGTTAAAAAACATATAAAATGCATTTATACTAATTAGTTCTAAACAAAAGGTTTCCAAGATGGTGGTATACAAAAGAAAGAAAGAAAGAAAAAAGAGAAAAAGAAAAGGAAAATGACTTAATTGACTGGGGGGTAGGCCTGTTTAAACAACCAAGTTTTTAATCATTGTAGAATCTGCAAAGAAAAATGCTTTAAAATTCACTTAATATATAAATTAAATGTATAAAAATGTGTAATAAATAAAATGCATCAGTACTACTGAAGATTGGTTATAACGTCCTGTTGGTGATTTGCACATGCAGAACTTGCATAGCTTACCACAACAAATTATCCCAGCATTGCACAACTTTCTCAGGAGGGTTTGGACATTTTATTAAGTTTATTAATGGTACAATGCAGAGACAAACACACACCCAAGCTAATGCAATTTTGGATAGCATCAACAGAATTTCAGTGTCTGGATCAAGGGAAGTAATACTACCACTGCATTTTGATTTGGTCAGACCTCACCTAGAACCATGTATCCAGTTCTGGGCACTATAGGTTAAGAAGGATATTTGTGAAGAAACACAAAAACCAAATCAGAGATTTGAGGCCTAGCTAGTAGGAAGTGGTATTAATGAGAACTGGAGAAAGAACAGTTCCCATGAAAAGTGCACTTACGTTATCTCAGAATAAAGATGGTAGGGATGGGACTTCCATATACAGTATTGTGGTTTACACTTCCCAAGAGTCTGCTGAAAATGCCGGAGCTAGAATTTAGCCCTCCCCCAACCAAAAAGTCTTCAAAGATGTTTGAGATAACTTTCAGCTACTGCATAAATGATATAAGATTCATCTATTCTGAGTTCTAAGGCTTTCTGACAAAGGAGAAACTAGTTGGGCAGGGCAGGGCTAAGCTATGTGGCACTGCAAAGCATTGGGGTTTTGTAGTTTTCCAAGAGTACCCTGTACACTCTGTACGCTCAAGAGTCTATCCATTGCTACTGTTTAAGTAAATAGAATAGTCTGATTACCATTGCTTCCCCCCCCGGTGGTGGTTCATTCCAAACAGTTTGTAATTGCCTTATTTTTCCCCCCTTCAATCTTTCCTGTCCTTTCAGAAAAATGAAATATTCTGCACATTTGGGAGAGTGGAGAGAGGTGAAGTGATGTTTTCAAATATTTGAATGATATCATGTAGATAGAAGATAAACCAAACTTGTTTCCTGTATCTGCAGAAGCCAGAACCTGAACTAATGGAATCAAATTACACAACAAGAGATTTTGACTAACATTTGGAAGAACTGCCTGATGACATTGAAAGTTATTTTCAGGATCTCCCTTCCTCTCAATTTATAGTCAAGGGTTTTGGGAATGGTGGAGAAAATTGTCCATAAAGATTCCCAGTATTTGAAATCAGCCCTGAAATCTTAAGATCTGATTCTTTTATGAATTGCTATTATGATTATTCAGGAAGACAGGAAAAATGGCTGAAAATTTGTGGCCACTGCATACAAATCAAAGCATCTGGTGGGGCTGCTGTAAGATATAGGAAACTGGACTAGATAGGCGCTTGGCCTAATCCAGCAGGGGTCTTCTTATGTTCTTATGTTCTATTCCTTCAAAATTCATTAGCAGAGGCAGTAGACGTAGTGATTGTCATTGTCTGAGATGGTTTTCTGATCAATGAATAGATTTTGTATCACATGGGTCATAGTATTTGCATGAACTGTAAAATTATGCAAGAAAATGTTGCTAGCTAATAAAACTATACAGTATATATAAAGACACTGCTTTTTCATCCATTTTAATGAGTCATTTTTAAAATGTCAATTAGCTTCTTGGTAAGAAAAATGTCAGTGGTGTATTTCACTGTGATGGATTTTAAATTCTTAAGCCTTGAGAGTCTGAAATTCTTGCTGTCATGATGTTGACATATTGTTCTCAGAATGGTAGAAGCATAACCAGCTGATTCATATCTATTCTAACCCTATTTATATCCACCCCAAAGCTGAGGTTGTTGGAGGGGTTGCCATATTGTTGACAATCTTAGTATATGCTTTATTTTTTATTGTGTGAAATGAATATTATTTGAGCATAGGACAAGAGGATGAATATGTAAGTAAGTTTTCCATTGTTAATCTTCAGTCCCTCAATTGAGAGGGCATAGAGGCAAACCTAAAGTAGACCTTAAATGGAAAGTGCTAGAGAACTCACATAACTTCTCACCTGTCCTTTTGACTGGCAGTGTTTCCAAAGCGCTGGTCAGGTCCCTTCCTATTCATCTAACAGACACAGCTGAAATATTTTAATCCAAGGGCTGCTTGAAACCAATTTAATTTCAAGAACATTTTGTTAGTCCTGTTCATGTATTATTTACTTGGTTCTCTTCAACACTAAGCTCTTATGTGTAATTGATTTTTCATGTAGAGAGATACAAGGTCTGTTGACATAACAGACTCTCTACATGAGGAAGAGCCCCATAAAATTCCACAGGTGAGAAGGAACTTCTCCCCTGCACACCTACGTTTCTTGTGAATAAAGTGGTGATGGAGAGGAAGAGGGCTAATCACCATCTTGCTCACATGTTGGAGAGAACTAGGAAGGCAAAACCATTTGAACAACAGAAACGTCCAATTTCATTACATTTCACATTGTGTGATTCAGAATTTCATAAAATCTATAGCCCTTTTAATAGTCACACACTAGCACTGTGCTAATTATAAAAATAAAAATGAGTTACAAAATCTACTTAGCTAACACCATAAATTCCATAAAAGAATTTTTCAAGAGATAAGACAGTTACTGAGAAGAAAATAATAACTTAAAAAAACTTTTCAGACACATGCTGAAAACAAGTCACTTCTGCAGTAACTTCTGCAACGTCAGCCTTACATTTTAAAAGAGATGAGGTCCCAGTCGGAGAGGTCCTGTTTAATTCTTGTGAGTCTAAATTCATAAAGCTGAGGAAGCCAAGCAATATTCCATCTGAATGGCCTTACTGAGAAAGAGGATTTGTATGAGAAGGGTTTTTTCCCCCAGCTTCCTCATGCTTCTTCACCACACAGAAGAGTCACTGAAAAGCAGTTGAAAAGCCTAACTGCTTGAGGGATCAAGATAACCTATTTAGTAAGGATACCTGCTTTTTTTTGTCCACAAGGCCAGCTGACATGGTTGTTCAAATTCTCCCAATGACCTAGTTGACATTTGAGATGCAAAACCAACTGCTAATGATTCAAGCAACTACAGCAGTATTTGCTTGAGTCTTTGTGCCTTTTTTAATTTTCTGGCTTTGGTTACTGTCCCTATTTAATCCACAAACAATTTAATCCACGAAATCACCTATCGGATTGGTCACTCTAGTGATAGGTGATCTTGTGTGACCACAATTAAGGAGTTAATTAAGCTCTTCATGGGGGGACCTCACAGGACAGTGCTGCCATTACTGTAACAGTAAAAAGCTTGAAATGGTGCCTCCGCTATGCTTGACCAGACAAAAGATGAGACACCATTAAAACAAAGGGAAAAATAACTTAATTAGAGCAGTATGTAATACTTAATCCAATATTTAAGTCACTTGTTAGATTTCTAGCAAGGAACACTAAACTCTTGTGTTGTTTCTGAAACTGCTTCTGCAGATCTCAAATCTGGGAATTTATTAGTTGTAGGGGCCTGTATCGGCTCTGAGAGAGTCCCCTATGGTTGCCATGGCAGTCATGAAGTTAGCTTGTTGCTTAGCTGTTTCAGCTTTTACGATTATATATACTAGAATATTCCACAAGTAGGTGGCGATATTAGTTTATAATCCATGGCCTTTGAACATGCAAGTGTAGCCTTATTCTATTTTCAGATATTTTTGAAGTTCTTGATCCTATATATCTACTATGTGAAAAAAGCAAGTTATAGCTTACATTGATCTGCTTCTCAGCTGTATCAGCACATCACCTTTTAGCCAAAACACTTTCCTTGTTAATTGTTTTGTGCTTATGTAAATAACGAAGTAGCTGAGAAATCCCTGACATTGAGTTTGGGCTGTAGGTGGTTTCAAATCCAATTCCTCATGTACGTAACAGTGGCATAGTCAAGTGAAAGCGATACTACAGATGTATCTTTGTTTTGTAGGTGATGGATGTGGACATACCATTTTAGGTCCTGAAAGTGGAACGTTTACATCAATTAACTACCCACATGCCTATCCCAACAGCACAGTGTGCGAATGGGAGATTCGGGTGAAGCCAGAACAAAGAGTTCAGCTAAAATTTGGTGATTTCGACATTGATGATTCTGATTCTTGCCATTTTAATTATGTTCGAGTTTACAATGGAATTGGGCCTACAAGGACAGAGATAGGTAAGAATGTACAGGATTTCTCTTTCTTGGGTTTAAAGAAATCTTGCTGTCTGCAGGTAGTTCAGAACATTAAAGATATTCCTTACTGTTTATTTGGTTGTTGGTAAAAGCATTTCTGAATGATGTGTACAGTCCTTTTTAATCGCAATTAAAGCCAATGAAGAACTTAAATTGATTTACTTCAAACTTTTTAAAATGGGCTGTAAGTAAAACTGGAAGTTATTTTATTGTGTTTGTAAATATCAGGGCCATTTTATAGTTTTGTGAATTCAGACTTCCATGGCTATGCACCCAAGAGGGAATTTAGGCAGCCAAACACTGCCATGGGGACTACATATGTGCCTGTGAGGTGATAAAGCTATCAGGGATTCAGGGGCGTTGATTACATCTTGCAGTGTGTAAATGGGGAGCGATACTGCATGCAAAACGTATTAAGCAACGATCTTTGGTAATGCTTGAAAACAAAGTATATTAAGCATTCTCACACAAAGTTGAAAACATTAATATGTAGGAATTAATATTTTAAATCTCTCAACTATTTTATGTTCAATAAACGTCTAGTCTTTGCAGGTAATACCTTTATATGCTGTGGAAGTAGAATTGAGGTGGAAGGAATAGATGTTAAATGTCACTAACATGACAGTATTTTGTGGCTTGATGGATTTTAATTTAAAATTGCATTGTTTTTGTGTCTCCCAGATACATGGCCTAGATATTTCCACTGATACTATATTTTTAGATAGGATACTGAGGGTGACTGCACCAAATCTTATTGCAAGGCATATGCAATGTGAAGTTGCTAAACTCAGCCACCATTCTTTCTGAGTGTTTTATCAAAACATAGGACTTGTTCTGAGCCAAGCTTACTTGTAAAAAAGAAAACACAGCATGAGGTCCTTAAATGGCTAGGAACTCCCAGTTCCAAGAATATATTCACTTTTACAAGTATAGTTCACTGGCCCAATTAAATTATCTACTTTTGTTCCCTTTATCTTTCAGCCATTTCCAGCTGGTATGGCTGCATAAGGGATTGAAGAGCACATATTGCTCTGATGAGAGAAAGCTTTTTTGAAATATTAATGGTGAAATTAAAATTGGTACCATTTAAAAACCCTTACATATTAGGAATAAGGATAAATGGAAATAGTTTGATCACAGACATGTGTATTTAGCAAATGAGAAACCTTTGAACAAGATATGCAATATATTGTATATTGTAATTTAATGGATTTGAGAGTAGTCAGGATGAGAATGGATTCCTAAGGCTAACTCTAATGACCTGGAGTGGATGTGTTTTAAATGAAAATTCACAATGGCAGATTGCTAGGAACCCATGCCAATCCAGTTCATATTCATGAATAATAATAAAAATAATCTATTTACTGGAACACCTAGTTTGCATAATATTAGAACTATTGATTTTTTTGCTCATGAATATATTCCTAGTTGAGGACAGGGGTCACCTTTATAAAGGGCATTTTAAGCTCTTTAAATTATCACCGTGTGGGTGATTGAAAATAATGGGCATGGTCGGTTTGACATTTTATAGCATTTGGAGCAGGCTTGGGGAAGACCGCATAATTGTTCTGACATGTGCTTTCGGTATTTCTGTCCCAGATTCTCCCTTGTGCCTGTTTAAAATTTTGTGTTTCATGTTTTTAATATTTCTGTAATCCCTAGATGTAAGAGTGATTTTTTAAACGATGATATAGACTCCGAAACATGCTGACTTGTCCAGAGAATTTTAAATGTGCAAATTGGTGCTGAATGTATAAAACATTTAATGTCTTTTTACCCAGGAAAATACTGTGGTTTAGGCCTACAGATGGACAATTTAAATGAATCAAAGAGTAATGAAATTACAGTACAATTCATGAGTGGCATACACTTCTACGGACATGGATTTCTTGCATCTTATTCAACCACTGACAAGCCAGGTATTTATTAGAGTCTTACCACACGCTTATTTTCATGTTTTAAGCATACTGTCTTGCCATATGCAGTACATCTCTCTTTCTGCTAACCCCCCTTGTAAATTATTCATAATGAATCAAGCCCAAGCTGCTTGCTACAAAACTGCATCTAGACAGGGTGTAATTTATAATAATTTAGTTTAAATTATGCAGAAGGAAACAAATTAGGAATCACCTAATCCAATCTGCCTAAAACGTTTTGGGGAAGCTGCATTATGGCATATTTGATTCATTGCCTAATTATTCCCTTCTATTTGCAGGTTTAAGTCTGCATTCCTTATCTAGGAGTAAATTCCATTGGCATTATTCAAGAATTAAAATTAGATTGTAAGATTGCACTGTTTTGAGTGCCTCTGCACTACACAGTTATAGCAGTTGGATCACACCTTAGCTACCATAGGCCTGTCTTACTAAATCCCGGGATGTGTAGTCTGGCAAGGTACTTCATTGTCTCTGCTGGAGAATTATCATACACTCCCCGAAAATGCAGTGGAAAATTTTGTGTGCCACACAAAGCTAGAAATCCCAGATTCTGTAGGATGAAACCATGACAGTAAAAGATCAAACTGTCATAACTCTCACTTTCCTTCCAATAACTATTTGACCCATTGCCAACCACTTTTTTTGTCCCTTATGTGGAAGTATATTCCATTGCATTCAAAGGAACTTACTTGAAATAAAGATGCATAAAATTTGTTTGTAAACCCTCATTCAATGAATTCTGCTTTGCAGCATTTCCCCTTTTTGTTTAGTTGTTTTGAGTGAGATCAGTTTAAACATCAGTAGATATGCACTCAGTATTAGCTACTGTAATGAGGCGTTGTTTCTGGGATTTCTTTGTTCCAGAGTCCCACTAAACAAGAACATTCTTATTACTTCAATGATGCTTTATTGATATGTTTTATCCTGTTTTCTTTCCTTAATTTGATGTTAACCACTTTTCCAGGGGGGTGAATATTTTAGACTGTTGCAGGAAAAACAAGGAGAATCTTAAGGCACCTTCAGCACTGACATGTTGTTTGATATAAGCTTTCATATACTGTAGCTCTCACTCCATGAAATGGCATGATGTGTTTGATGAAGTAGACTACAGTGGTGCCTCGCATAACGATTTTAATTGGTTCAAAAAAAAATGTTATGTGAAACATCGTTATGCGAAACACCATTTTCCATAGGAATGCATTGGAAACCGGTTAATCCGTTCCAATAGGCACGGATTGCCGTCCTTAAGCGAAAAAACCCATAGGAAACATCGTTAAACGATACAATGTTTCCTCCATTGGAATGTATTGTAGCTAACTCAATACATTTCAATGGCTTTGCGAAGTCAATTTTTGCAAAATTAAGTGTGTCATAAAAGGGTCAAAAATGGTTTTAAATGCTTGGATTAGCTTCTGCACCCTCTAAAACGGATGCAAAAGTTAATTTGGCTTTGATCTGACTTTTCGTTAATTAATGGTGAATTTTTTCCCCCCAACTTTTGACAGCTGTCAAAATCTGACAGCTCCATTATTTCCTATGGGGGAAGAAAAAATTCACAAAAAATTAATTTTCGCTTAGCGAAGTTTGGGACCATGCTTCGCATAACGAATGCGATTTTAGGTCCCCTGCTTCACTTAACGATGTTTCTTTTTTCAATTAAAAAAGTGTCTTAGAAGGGTCAGCAACTGTTCTAAATGCTTGGATTCGTTAGAGGACCCCCTAAGTCGTGTGCAAACCTGATTTGGCTTTGATCTGAACTTTCGTTAATTTATGGCGAATTGTTTTCTCCCCCATAGGAAAGCATGGAGCTGTCAGATTTTGACAGGTCCATTGGTTCCTATGGGCCGGAAAAAAAAATTAACCATAAATTAACGAAAAGTCAGATCAAAGCCAAATCAGGTTTGCACACGACTTAGGGGGTCCTCTAACGAATCCAAGCATTTAGAACCGTTTTTGACCCTTCTAAGACACCTTTTTAATTGAAAAAAGAAACATCGTTAAGTGAAGCAGGGGACCTAAAATCGCATTCGTTATGCGAAGCATGGTCCCAAACTTCGCTAAGCGAAAATCACCCATAGGAAACATCGTTATACGGTGCATATTATTTCCTAAAAAAACACATCGTTATGTGAATTAATCGCTAAACGAGGCAATCGTTAAGCGAGGCACCACTGTATAGTCTATTGAAGTTTGCCAAATAAAATTTGCTATTCATTTAAGTCTCTGTTACTTTAGCTGCAATTTTGCTTGTTCTTCTGCCTAACTATAAATACGTTCATATTGTCATGGTCTTTTGTGACTTTGCCTGATGTAAATTTAGTGAAGCTTACTGTGCTGCGTTGAAAAAAACAATGTGTTGGCAATTATACATTATCAAAGTGCAGAAGGTCATTGTTGTAGTGGGATAATTGCACTGAACTGTGGAACACTTGCCATTTTTGTCATCATAATTTTTTCTCTATTAAAAGGAAATGTGCTTTTTTGGTTATAGTCCTTCTTATAATATGTTTTTCTTTCCAGATTTAATAACATGTTTAGACACTGCAAGTCACTTCTCTGAGCCAGAGTTCAGGTAAAAATGTCACACTAATTGCTTCAGGGCTAGGCCACACCTGTGACCCAGCCATTATCTTTTTCCTCAATGGCATGTGGCTACATAGAGGTCAAAAGCAGCATGTGTGAATGCAAGTTGGCCACAAGTTTATGATACACATTTATATCATTCCAGTTAACTTTGGGTATAAGCTTTTCATGTTCAGCCCTCAATGAACATTTTTGAGTAAACACATTAGGTGCTACTTTATTTAGTATAATTTTCCCATGTTTCTTTCTGAATATTACTAGTATTTGTTTCAGAAACAGGTCTTTGGAAATCTAAGTCTATTATAGCTAAAGACAGAGTTTGTTATAGCAATTGATTGTAATTTTTAATGATTTTTACAACACACATCTCCATAATTTGTAGTCAAAGTGCTGCTACTCAAACTCAAAAGTGGGGTACCTTGATGGATCTGAAGCTAAATTTTCTCCCCCAGTCTCCAAAATGGCCAAAAAATGGGGGAGGGAAAGGAACAAAACTAAATGTGTCCAGATGGCAATTTCAGATTCTTTCTTTGGGTGGAGAGGCTTGGGAAAAGCTGCCCTGCCAAAGTCCACCACTCCAGGAAATGAAATTAGATATTTCCGCTTTATATATTTTTTGAAGTGGAGTCAGTTGCCTGGAGGGGGGGTGTAAAGATACTCCTCATGGCCATAAGTAGTCTGTAGATGGTTGTTATGTGCCATCAAGTTGGAGCCGACATACAGCAATTCTAATAGGGCTTTCAAGGTAAGTGAGATATTTTGAGCGGTTTTACCACTTCCATCCTCCAGTGAGTTTCCATGACTGAGTAGGGATTGGAACCAATGGCTTCTGAGTCCCAGTCTGTCACACTACACCACACTGAGTATTGTGGTCTATGAACTACAGTTTTCTAAGCTGTGGAGTGATAGAAAGTGTCAAGCTACAATTCTTTATCTAGTTGAATACCAATTGAATTCTGTGGGATTTTTTTTAGTAGGCATGTATAAAATTGCACTATTTTAGTTGTAAAAGCCATTTGTTGCAATATTTATAAGTATTGAATGTAACCAGTCACGTAAATAATTATGATATATATGTTCATTGATTTATGGTTCTTTATTCTTTATTTTGGAATGTTAAATTAATTCTGATGCTTTTGATTGCATCTCGTTGTAATCAATTGGTCCAAGATGTTTAAACCTTAGAACAAGAACGCCTATTTGCGTTTCTTCATTCATATCTTAATTATCAAATCATGATACCTTTTATAGTAAAATGTTGTATGCAATTCTGGAATACTTCCCTCAGGCTCCCCTGCAGCATACTTGACTTGCTTATACAGTGGGGTCTTGACTTGAGAACTTAATCCGTATTGGAAGGCGGTTCTCAAGTCAAAAAGTTCGCAGGTCAAATCTGCATTTCCCATAGGAATACATTGAAAACCATTTGATCCGTATCTGCTCTTTTCCGTCCATAGAAACTAATGGGAAGCTGCTATTCTGCCTTCAACCACTAGAGGGGGATATTTTGTTTCTTTTTTTCTTAGGTCAAGAAAGGTTCAGGGAAGGCAGGGAAAATACAGTCCAGGCAGTAGCAGGCAGTCTGAAGACTCCCAATCCACTCTCTAAATGCTGGGAGGAGTGAGGAAGCAGACAGGCACCCTTTTCACTGGCCAACCGTTAACTGAAAGTTCAAATTTTGCACTTTCCCTGCCTTCTACGTGGGTTTTTTTCAGTTCTTAACTCAAATCTAAGTATGTAAGTCAAGTCAATATTTTCCTATGAGAGTGGTTTGTAAGTCGAAATGTTCTTAACTCGAGCCGTTCTTAAGTCAAGACCCCACTGTATCAATCACTGAAGTTGCTTAGTCAGCTATTCTAATTAAATTTTGCTACTTGTTAGATTCCATATATTGTGCAAACCTGAACTTGATGACTTTGGAAATTCCCTTGGAAGTAATGAGATTTATTTAGATTTTCAGGATTTCCACATGAGGTGCACTTAGTCCATATTAAAAATAATAATATGGCATCACATTGATTTAGACTTATGATGACCCTTCCCAGGATTTTCTAGATATAAAGTATGCAGGAGTGGTTTACAGTTTCCTCTTTTTGGTGGTGGTCTGGGAACATGTAGCTTGCCCAAGATCCCACAGGCTGGCTCTTCTTCAGGGAGGCAGGGAGGTGAAGAATCCCTAGGCCAGGTGCTCCAGCGCACTGAGTTACCCAGCCAGCTCGTACATTCTTACCAATTATAGAAGTACATAAGCATAGACAAGCATTATATGGATTTGTTTTGAGAGCTCAAAGCAATATAACAAATTTACAGTATAAATGTTATTCTTTTTTAAAAAAATTAAGCCACTTTTTGTCTCATTAAAATAAATTTTCCATGATACCTTATTTCCTTATTTGTTTCTTGCTGTAAAAAGCTTCTTATGACCCAGTATAATTTATGGCTTGGCAAGTTTTTCATGTCTGGCCACCAGTACAAAGGGCAGTGAGTGCCCTTATGTGTATGTGCTGAATGGTATACTATCCAAAATTTCATGTGTTTCGTCTGTGTAATTACGTTATTTGTGTAATGCATTACTTTTATTTTATGCCTGTTTCTCTTATAGCAAATATTGTCCAGCGGGATGTGTGCTTCCTTTTGCCGAAATTTCTGGGACTGTTCCTCATGGCTACAGAGACGTAAGTAGATTTTAGAATAGCTACTTTATCTTCTGTTACATATTCTGCTGTAGTGACTGAACTATGGCATCCATATGTTTATGAGATGCAATGATGTGTATACATTTTAGTACCTAGGCTCATTTCAAATATGATTAGTGTCTGTGAATGCAGTGTATCTTTTGTGTGCTTACACTTTTGTAAAAGAAAGCTAAATGTGATCTCTGTTTGCCTTTAAGAGGGGTACCGGCCGCAGTGGTAGCAGTTGTGTATTTACCCTAATGAAATGACTAAATATCAATTAGCGCATAATTTCATGCTTTTTACTTCTTCCCCAAGTCATCTTCCCTTTGCATGGCCGGCGTACATGCAGGAGTAGTATCCAATGTTCTGGGAGGTCAGATCAATGTTGTCATCAGCAAAGGGCTTCCATATTATGAGAGTTCCCTGGCCAACAATGTCACATCAAAAGTGTAAGTGTATATTATTTACTTTCATCATTACTCCTAGTATTGTCATAATTTAACTTGAAGGTAAAATATTTAGTTCTGAAACATTAAGAGAAGTTCAGCAAAGGATACTATTATAAATGGTCACACTGTACACACTCTTGGGGTATGAAGACATAGTTGAAAGCTGTAAAGTGTATACACCATAATCCTGTTGCTATTTGGGTGAGGGTAATCATGTAAGCCATGGTAATCGATCCCAAACATTAGTTAGGTGCTGGTTGCATTCGTGGATGATTGCACACTTTCCCATGTTCATTTCCTATGAACTCATTGTCCTCTTTGCTAACCTCTGTTAACACAACCTGACCATAGTTCCCACAACCTGTTCTAAACATTGCATTTACTTAATGTACAGAATGTTAGTTTTTAAAAAAGTTCTACATGGACGTTTTAAATGGAACATGGTAGAATGACAGAAACTGCAGTTTGACAGAGATGATTTAAGTCAGTTTTAAACTGTTTATTCATTTCCTTACATGGGAATTAATGCTCCAAGATATCAATGTAGAACAATATATTTAGTTTTGCTTCTGTATCTCAGCTCCCTTGTACTTGAAGGATGAAGATACAAAAGGCTAGAGAGCATGGCATTGTGATAAGATGCTATGAAGGCCCAGGTTTGAATAGGTGTGTGTGTGTGTAGAACAGAAGGTGAAGCTACATCAGTTTCCTAATTTTATTTTGAAATGTAAACTCTGGTAAATCATTTTTATACTGAGATATTATCTCACAGATACTTATGTTATACAGTAAATGTGCTAATTTTATTTTAATGCTTCTATTATTATAAGTAGTATAATAACAGAGTAGACCTTTGGTCTAGATGGGCAGGGTAGAAATCCAATTAAATAAATAAATAAATAAAAAAAGAGAAAAAGAAGTTAAGGAGTATATTTCCCTTTTTTTGGTACTGAACTTGTCATTTCTTCAGCTGTTTTGTTTGCTTTTATGCAGAGGACCACTGTCTTCAGGTCTCTTCACTTTCAAAACTAGTGGTAAGCCTCCATTCTTTATATTCATTCAGTATTACATGAGATCTAGGCTACCCAATCCTACATCTCTATTGCACTTTTGATATGTCCTTTCTTTTCATGAATCCGGGTGGGGAAGACCAGAAGGGATTGTGAAGAGCTCCAGAAGGATCTCTCCAAACTGGGAGAATGGGCGGCAAAATGGCAAATGTGTGTCAATATAAGAAAATGTAAAGTAATGCACATCGGGCAAAAAAACAAAACTTTCGTTATCGGCTGATAGGTTCTGAGCTGTCCGTGATGGATCAGGAAAGAGATCTTGGTGTGCTGGTGGATGGTTGAATGAAAGTGCCAACCCAGTGTGCAGCGGCAGTAAAGAAGGCCAATTCCATGCTAAGTATCATTAAAAAGGCATAGTGGAACTGCAAAAAGGTGCAGAAGAGAGCGACTAGAATGATGACTGGGCTGGGGCGCCTCCCTTATGAGGAAAAGCTACAGTGTTTGGGGCTCTTTGTTTAGAGAAAAGGCGCCTGAGGGGGGACATGATTGAGACATATAAAATTATGCAGGGGATGGATCAAGTGTAGAGAGGGAAGCTCTTTTCCCTCTCACATAATACTGGAAACAGGGAACATCCACTCCAGTTGTGTGTTGGGAAAGTGAGAACAGACAAAAGAAAATATTTCTTTAGTGTTATTAGTCTCTGAAACTCCTTGCATAGATGCCTTGCAAAGGGGATCGGACAGATTCCTGGAGGAATCTCAAGCTACAAACCATAGCTATAGGGGAGTAGTATCAGGAGACAGGTATCTAGAGGCATCTGGTGGGGCCAGTGTGAGATACAGGAAGCTGGACTAGATGAGCCCTTGGCCTGCTCCAGCAGGGCTCATGTTCTTATGTCTTACTATCATCTCAAATTTGTGATAGGTGTGAGATGACAATATTGCAGAACATCATTCTTCTCTACAAAATTACTTTGAGGACTGCTAGGAATTTTTTCATTATACTTTCGTGTCTTGCCAACTTAATCACACTTTTCTTCTGCATTGCTAAAGTCCAGCTCTTCCTTAATGCACTCATGAACTCGATGTATCTGTAAATATACATCTCCTCCGGCAAGGCACCTGGAAGGGACAACATCCCTGTTGAAGTGCTGAAATGCTGTAAGGAGATCATCACCACCGAACTGTATGAAGTCTTTTGTCTCTGCTGGAGGGAAGGTGGAGTACCACAGGACATGAAGGATGCAAACATTGTCACATTGTACAAGAACAAAGGAGACAGGGGTGACTGCAATAACTACCGTGGCATCTCTCTTCTTAGCGTGGTAGGGAAGCTGCTTGCCCGCGTTGTGCTGAAGAGGCTCCAGGTGCTTGCAGACAGAGTCTATCCAGAATCACAGTGTGGATTTCGAGCCAATAGATCCACAACTGACATGGTGTTCTCCCTCCGACAGCTGCAGGAGAAATGCAGGGAACAACAACAGCCACTCCTTGTGGCCTTCATAGACCTTACAAAAGCATTTGATCTGGTTAGCAGGGATGGCCTTTTTAAAATACTTCCCAAGATTGGTTGTCCACCTCGTCTCCTCAACATCATCAGATCTTTCCATCAGGGAATGAAAGGCACTGTAGTTTTTGACGGCTCAACATCAGACCCCTTTGACATTCGAAGCGGAGTGAAACAGGGCTGTGTCCTCGCACCAACACTTTTTGGGATATTTTTTGCTGTCATGCTGAAGCATGCCTTTGGAACTGCAACCGAGGGCGTCTATCTCCGGACTAGATCAGACGGAAAGCTCTTTAATCTTTCTAGATTGAGAGCAAAGACCAAAGTACAACTGAAATGCATGCGGGACTTCCTCTTCGCAGATGATGCAGCCATTGTTGCCCACTCTACCGAAGACCTCCAACAACTCATGAATCGTTTCAGCAAGGCCTGCCAAGACTTTGGACTAACAATCAGCCTGAAGAAAACACAAGTCATGGGCCAGGGGGTGGACTCACCTCCTTCTATTACCATCTCCACAAAAGAATTGGAAGTTGTTCATGACTTTGTGTACCTCGGCTCAACCATCTCTGACACCCTCTCTCTAGATGTCGAGTTGGATAAACGCATTGGCAAAGCAGCCACCATGTTCTCTAGACTCACAAAGAGAGTATGGCTCAATAAGAAGCTGACGACACATACGAAGATCCAGGTTTATAGAGCCTGTGTTCTAAGCACACTCCTGTACTGCAGTGAGTCCTGGACCCTTCGTGCATGGCAGGAGAGGAAGCTGAACACCTTCCATATGCGTTGCCTCCGACGGATTCTTGGTATCACCTGGCAGGACAAAGTTCCAAACAGTGTAGTCCTAGAACGAGCTGGAATTTTCAGCATGAATACATTACTGAAGCAGCGACGTCTACGTTGGCTGGGGCACGTCGTGAGAATGACTGATGGTCGGATTCCAAAGGATCTCCTGTATGGAGAATTAGTGCAGGGAAAGCGCCCCAGAGGGAGACCACAACTGCGATACAAGGACATCTGCAAGCGAGATCTGAAGGCCTTAGGAATAGACCTCAACAGATGGGAAAACCTGACATCTGAGCGTTCAGCCTGGAGGCAGGCACTGCATCACGGCCTCTCCCAATTCGAAGAGACTCTTGCCCAGCAGGCCGAGGCAAAGAGGAAGTCACAAAAGCAGCAAAAGCAGGGAGCCAGACAGGGGACAGATTGGATTTGTCTTCAGTGTGGAAGGGACTGTCACTCTCGAATTGGCCTTCTCAGCCACACTAGACGCTGTTCCAAATTCTCCATACAGAGCACATTACCATAGTCTCTCGAGACTGAAGGATGCCTATGATGATGGATCAAGTGGATAGAGGGAAGCTCTTTTCCCTCTCACATAATACTGGAAACAGGGAACATCCACTCCAATTGTGTGTTGGGAAAGTGAGAACAGACAAAAGAAAATATTTCTTTAGTGTTATTAGTCTCTGGAACTGGTGGGGCCAGTGTGAGATACAGGAAGCTGGACTAGATGGGTCCTTGGCCTGCTCCAGCAGGGCTCTTATGTTCTTATGTCTTACTGTCATCTCAAATTTGTGATAGGTGTGAGATGACAATATTGCAGAACATCATTCTTCTCTACAAAATTACTTTGAGGACTGTAGGATTTTTTTCATTATATTTTAGTTTCTTGCCAACTTAATCACACTTTTCTTCTGCATTGCTAAAGTCCAGCTCTTCCTTAATGCACTCATGAACTCGATGTATCTGTAAATATACATCTATATTGAGAAACAGTATCAATTTAACAGCTTTTAAATATAGTGTGTTTAGACTCCGTAGTGTTCTTGATCATGCCATTCTCACACGTTTCCTTACCAAATTGCCATCATTTTCTGATTGGTTTTTTAATCTTTAGGTTGCTACGGTACATTGGGTATGGAGTCTGGAGTAATTGCTGATTCGCAGATTAATGCATCATCATTTCTAGAATGGCCAGAGCAAATGGGCCAGCCAAGCACCTGGAGACCTGAAAGAGCCAGGTTGAAAAGGCCTGGACATTCTTGGGCAGCTTTTACCAATGATGAATATCAGTGGTTACAAATAGACCTAAACAAAGAGCAGCGAGTAACTGGTAAGCACTTCTGAGTTCAATATTTAAAGGAAAAGAAAGTTACAGGTTGGTAAGAATTCAGCATTTGAGGGAAGCTCCAGTAGAGTTCTAGACTCTTGTAACCCTAAATCTACTTTCTGTGGAAGTTCATCGCTTGAAAATGTGTTGATGAATACACTAGGAAAGGTAATCTCATGTTATTCAAGCAACAGAAGACATTCAAGAAGTAGAATCAGTGGGAATTTAATCAAAACACACTTAGGTTTGCCACGGATGGGTTTTCTAAACCAAATTTTAGACCCTGTTTTGGCAACAAAAACATTTCGTATGGATTATTTCAGTTGGCTGTTAATGCCTTTTGGCGGAAGGATATCTATGCTGATATTTAGGAGCATTGCTCTCCAGATATTCTGTTCTAATATTTCCAGAAGTAGGTTTTGCTTGTTGCTGTGGCATTTCATTCTTTGGGAGTCCTGTGGGACTCTTGCTTCAGCCCCTTTCTATAATATTTGAATAAAGCTGTTGAGTAAAGCTGTATTCATGATTTGTCGGGATCTGTGTAGGGCTCAAAGAGTGGTAGAGACAAGGGCACTCACCTAAGCCCTTTGTCTGCCCACCACCTGGTGGTCATCGAGATCTTCCTTCTTTCAGTGCAAAGGTTTGCATAGGTGCTTTAAGTACAGTATATTCAGCTAGGTGGCTTATAGGATGTCCACGATTAGTTACACTTCCTTATCATGGTTTAACATCTGAGTAGGATTAAAGGTAATCCAGGGATGTTAGAATAAAGTGTTATCTGCATGCTGGCGAAGTTGTTAGCTGCATCCAGTTGTGTTTCGCTTTGTCAGTAAAACCTTTGCCATATCAGTATTTCCTGATGGATAAGGGCAAGGAAACTGATACTTACTCCCAGAAAAGATGGAGATGTTACTTATATTTGGTTCACTCACAGAGATGAATGATAAAAAACTATTTTAGAGGAGGTTACATTTCCTCAAAGGACAAGGACAATAGGTTGGGGTTTATCTTCCCAAGGACAATAGGTTGGGGTGCTCATTGAATTGTCTCTGGCAGTAGAGACACAGGTGGTCTCTGACATGGACCATCTTCCACCTGTTTACGCTGATATGCCACCTATGACTCAACCAGGACAAGAATAACCTTGCTTCAATGATTCATTCCAGGGTAAATCTTCTATTTTGGATTACTTTGTATAGAGGCAGCCTTTGAAGACAATCTTGAAATTCCTATCTATAATATGGGAGAAAGCTTAATTGGAACTGAGCAACAGAAATTTTGACATTTTTGGTGCCTAATCCATTTCTGAGCCCAATTAGATCATTTTGTTTTAAATGATTTTTCTGTCCTGGGACTACTATATATTTGGTACCTGTGCTTTTGTTTTCTTGGTGTCATGTCTTCATTATGCTAGGCATTATGAAACCAAATTCTCCTTCCGCGTCAGTCACCCTCAGCTGAGTCAGGATACGTGCAATCGCCCTAATGTTCATCATTCAGATTGTCTAAAATCGTCATAATATGAGTTGTTTTATCCTTACGTCTATGGCCTATTCCTTCAGTTTTGGGAAGATGATGTTTGAAGTTTCCATAATTCCTTGTCTATATAAGTGGCATGTTTATTGTGTTAAAAGAATGGTTCACTTTTTCTTAATTTTTTCCTTGCTATTTATTGTAAATGAGAAACCTTTTGATTCACAGGTATCATTACTACTGGCTCCACCTTAGCAGAGTACCATTATTATGTCTCTGCCTACAGGATTTTCTATAGCAGTGATGGACAGAAGTGGACAGTATACAGAGAACCTGGTGTTGAGAGGGATAAGGTAAATAAATACTAACGTGAATAGTCTTAGGAAATTACTATGTATTTCCTTGAATTTTCCTTTTTTTATATTTCTTTTTCCTCACTGAGCAAAAGGGAGTCAAAATATGACATTGCAATATGACTTTTCATTAGCCTTGCTATATATGTTTATGTATATACATATGGAACAGCAGAAGATAGCTGTAACTACAGAGATGGTGTATTGATCAGCTTTTAGAATCTGATTTAGAAACAAAAATTATCATGTATGTTTCAGGATAGTGAGATGTACTGCTGGAGAGGCAAAATAAGTTATTTTTTTACAGCTGAATTAAAAGTAGTATTGTTTTGGCAGGGAGATCAGTCCTTCCCTGTCACCTTCTGGTGGCCAAGTATATGACAGGGCATTTTGAAGCCGTGCATACTTTATGAGACTGCTTGCGCATCTGCAGCATATCATACCTTTGACTTTCTGTCATCCAATTACTACGACCCTGTCTATGAAGGGGGTGAATGATATGTGGTTTTCTAGATATCATCTCATATGGCCTTGCTGGCTTGATCTGAGGATTACTGGGAGTCCAGGATCTGGAGGGCTGAAGGCTACGCATTTGTGTCAGCAAAGCTGGGTGGTGGTTGCTAATAAGTTGTCACATCAAGGGATTTTTCAAAGGGGCCACTAATTTGACTGCCATTTCCTGCTTGAAGCTGTGTAGGTGAATCTCTTCCTGGAATAGTGAATGCTAAGTCCGAACAGGAGAATTAATCACATAGGAGTTTTACTTCTAGCTTTGACTGCCCTCTTCTGGCTTGCAAAGTGGAAGGAAAAACCTCTTTAACTACGCATCATTCCAACAAGCCTCTGATTCTAATCAATATGATTAGCTAACATTTTATGTGTCTTCTGGTTCTCTTAAAATTGTTTTTGTTTCTTTTTCTACACCACATCAAGATATCACTTCAGATATGGCAAGCAGTATATGGATTGATTAAATGATAACAGTTTTGATGGTGACACAGATGATCACTGAAACTAGGTTGTATTAACATACATCATATAATGTAATTTCAGTCTTTCTGGTTAGATCTCACTTAAAAATTTCACAACTGTGTAATTTACCAGAAAGTATTTTGATGACAGTAGGCTAATTACAGTATAACTGTCTGAATTAGCAATGTGTAACTTGGATAATGTAATTTCAGTCTTTCTGGTTAGATGTCACTTAAAAATTTCAGAACTGTGTAATTTACCAGAAAGTATTAGGACGACAGTAGGCTGATTATAACTGTCTGAATTAGCTATGTGTAACTTGGATAACTAACTTTTAAACTGCCTAGAGAGTGCCGTAAGCACTATGGGGGGGTATATAAGCAGCATGCTTTGCTATTGCTTTTCTTTTTTGAATTAAAAATATGCATTAGATGTACTTCGATTGCTGTGTCAGTACTCTGAGAACTTTATGTTCTGCTACTCAGGATAATTTAGCAAGGCACAATAAAAGACTGAAAATAACTTGTTCTCCTGTTTAAAAATAATAGATCATCTAAAAAAACCAGTTGTTCCCCCCCTCCCAGATATTTCAAGGCAACACTGGATATTATCAAGAAGTGCGAAACAATTTCATTCCACCCATCATTACTCGTTTTATTAGAATAAATCCTGTGAAGTGGCATCAGAAAATTGCAATGAAAGTAGAACTGCTAGGATGTCAGTTTAATATTGGTAAGTTGTACCTCATTTGGCATTCTTTGGAATAGAGCAGTTTGCATAAGGGTGAGCACTTGAGGCAGGTTTAATCTTTCCCTGTGTTGTAAAATTCCCACTTCTGTGACTAGGATATATAATCAAACACTTGTTGAGTTTTCAGTTGTTGGCCATCTGGTCCTTGGCATTCTATATCATCATCTGATTTCACTGTCTGAGTAATACTTCTGCATTAGGAATATAACATAACTTGTGAAAGTTTTCTTCGGCAGTGATCCATATATTCATTCCCCTTCAATTACTAGAGCAACAAGTCTTGGCAGCTATTTTGTGATAGGTTAGAATAACATAAAGACTATTTTGTTTTTAATTTGAATGTGGTACTGTCTGTCACAAAAATGAAGCTGCATGTTGTTCTTATTAGTGGCATGACCTTCAAATTATGGTCTTCTTTAAAGTTCGAGCTCCAAGACCTACAGCACCTCCGCCACCCAGAAACAGCAATGATTTTCCTTTCCAGACTGACGAAACAACCTTCACTCCAAGGATCAAGAACACTACAGTAACTCCGAGTGTAACCAAAGGTAGAGAATGGCACGTAGTAGCATAGTGCTCTTTGTTGCTAGTAATCTCCAATAATTCTTGATACACTAGACACTAACCAGCTGTATGATTAACATATAGAAAATTATATAGTAGGGAGATATTTGGTATACAAAATTCTGTATCAAATCAATCATGTCACATCAAAAGTCAAGAACTATTGTCTATAATCGTAATGCTCATGTATGCTGGCGTAAGTTAACCTGCTTGCAGTCAAGTCTGGTATTCCTTGTTTTGTACTAGTAATGTGACTTGGCATGCATTGTGAATACAAGAGTTGACTTAATGAGGGGTGATTTATTGCTGCGATTTACACTTTCAGGTATACTGACATATCTAAATAACAGGATTCTAGCCATTGAATAATTTGGTAATCAGTTGCTAAAGCAGAAAAAATAACTATTAGGATTTGTAGCCAGTTTATCAGTTTAAGATCCCCACACATTTCAGATTAGTTCCGTTGTAGTGATCTCTATATTATTTTATGTGGACCTTAGCTTAATTTTCTTGACTATTCATGTCACTAGAAGTGTGGATTTTTCCAGTTAGCTTTTACTGAGCCTACAAACCTAACATATTCTATTTATTTAATGGATTTCAGATGTGGCATTGGTAGCTGTCTTGGTTCCGGTGCTGGTCATGGTCTTTACTACACTAATCTTGATCTTAGTTTGTGCCTGGCACTGGAGAAACAGGTATGTGAATCAGAAGCTGCTTTATATTCCCAGTAATAGAGATGGGGAACGTGTGCCCTTCCATTGGTTACTAGAACTGCAGCTCTAATCAGCTGTAGCCAGCATTGCAAGTAGTGTCCAGTGGCAAGCAGAGGGCTTTATATCCACCGTCTCTACTCTGGAGTAGAAATACAGTATAATGCTTCTTAGAAATGTAAACAATTCCATTCATTCAAATTTCTGCAGAGCTGAGGTGTGTGATGTCTTTTAATGGTGGGCTCTATAACCATTTATATTTCTTTAAAGTTAAATCTCATGATTTATACTTGCTAAGGTGAAAGTGAAGTGGCAAAAGGAAACATCCTTTGATATTTAAAATCTCTTTTCCCTTAGGAAAAGCTTTGGTGCAAAAAAAACCCCTTTTCAGCTGTGCTTAATGACTAGAATTCTTAACTGTTACTTCAAATAATTGTTTCCTCTTGATACTAATTATGGGTATGTTCTAAATTTCATCCTTTTTTTTCAGAAAGAGAAAATCAGAAGGAACTTATGACATACCCTATTGGGACCGTGCAGGTAATAATAGCAGAACTTCTGCATGAGATGTTGAATCCTAAGATTAAAGTATAGTCCTGTAATATATATCTGCCATCAGTTAAATCTGGACAACACCTGATTACTTGGCCTTCAGATCTTCTGGGGTGCTTGAGAATTTGAGCAAAACATTCAAAAAAATTTATCTAATGGTCAGATTGAAGCACTCTTCAATCTGGATATCCTTCCAATATGATGTTCTTATGGAAGTGGAAGAAGCCACATATCCCAAAATCAACTGCACAGTACTATCAGTTACAGTCAAGGGTCATGAGGCTGGTGAGTCCCACAGTCTCCAGCAGGGCAAGCTAAGGCTGTCACTTTTCATTTTTCATTAATCTCCTTTCAAGGTGCTCATTAGAGCCATGCATTTTAATGTTACTTTGTAGTATTTTCCCCATTCCTATTTCATCATAGGATGTTTGTGGTCATGCAGTTCCAAGTACACATGTAACAGGGAGCACTAACTAGTTTATAAGCAAATAATCTCATCAATTCCTGAAGGCCATGCTGGAGGAAGAAAAGAAAACACAGTCTCAAATCTCACGTTTGTCAATTGATATAATGCTAAATGGCGGCTTAGCATAGACTTCTCCAAGCAGGTGCCTACCAGATGTGATGGGTTGCAAGTCCTGTTTTCCTAGTGTGCATGGCTGTCAGATATGCTGGATAGGAACAATAAGAGATGTAGTCCAATGTGTATAGAGAACACCAGGTTGGAAAAATTGGGTTTAAAATCATGCAAGAAACAGACTATACGTTGGACAGGGAATCTTCCCAAGCCAAAGAAATATATATCATGTAGTTCTGTCTCATGTATGTCAGTTGTAATGCATTTGTGAGAACTCCCTCTTTTCTTCCGAATCATTATACAGGATGGTGGAAGGGAATGAAGCAGTTTCTTCCTGCTAAGACTTCAGAACATGAGGAAACCCCTGTCCGTTACAGCAGCAGTGAAGTTAATTGTCTTAGATCAAGAGAAGTAACAACCATGTTACAAACTCAGTCTGCAGGTATTTGTGTTTTTCAGCTTTTACCTGTTTGAGGGGGTGACTACTTTGACCATTTACCCCTCAATTTGCATTGGATTGTGAACAAATTAATTCAAGTTAAACCTGATGACTTCACAATGTAAAAGTCAGTGTGACAAAGCCCACTGTGGAATTGTCTTTTTAAAGAAGGAAATTGTCTTTTTTTTGTTCAGCCAACAGGGATTGTTTACATTTGTTCTAAATTGGGTGGCATTTTTTTATCTACTTTCTGCCCAATGTGACCTCCTGATCCAATGCAAAGGGACTCTTGTGAGGGTGTCAGTTCTCCTCAATCAAGTACCCCTGGTTCTTTTTTTAAAAGGGGGGGGAGTTTCAACTCAGTGCTAAAACAATATTTCTAAGGCACTTAGGAGAAAAAAATAAAGAGAGAGAAGTTGCCAGTTAGCAACTTGTTAGCACCTTAAGGCAGCTTCTGCTGTTGGAGCACCATGCAAACCAAGCTCTCTGTCTTTGCCCCTGTTGATTCCTGCAAGCAGAAGTTTCATCTGAGGAAACCTGATTTGCATGGGTACGAATCACAGCAGATCAAACTGTATTTTCTCGCTGCATAGTCACACCCCAAGTATGTGGTGTCGATTTTAAATTGAAACATGGGGCTAGCATCATAGACACTTCAGTACTTCCACAAAATTTTATAACACCGATTTAATTCCACCCACTATAACAGTTCTCAGCAAAGGAACTTGAGAGCTGGCTGGATTTTCATATGGTGATTTCAAAAAATCTGTCCTCTTAATTTTTACTGTAAGTCTTAGTTCAGATGATAAACATTAGAATGAGCCCAATGAAATGGCAACTAAAAGATTATTCATAAAATCTTTTAAGTGTGCCTATTTACTAAAAATTGATTGCTATAGAGGTTTCAGTATACAAGCCTTGGCGTAATGGATTTAAAAATGTGCAGTTTGTTTATTCATTATTTTATTATATACTTTTATCTACACAAGGCAGTCCCGGAATGATCTCTTTAGGAGTACCTGGTGGGCTCTCATTTGGCTGACCTACCACTTCTTCATATGTAGTTATCCTGATTCCTAGTATCTCGACATCTGTCTCTCAAGCAGAAAGGCTAATTCAAAACCGTTTATGACTCCATGTAGATAAGATTCTTCTGGCATTGCCTTGTATGTGAATTGGTTCCTGCATGTCTGATATGCTCTGGGTATTGCCAGTGCAATGTGTTAGAAGTGGGAAGAATAATCTTGAATAACGATCTCCCTTTGAATACAGAGTATGCACAGCCACTGGTGGGAGGAATTGTTGGCACACTTCACCAGAGGTCAACCTTTAAACCAGAAGAAGGAAAAGAAACAAGCTATGCTGATATGGATCCTTACAACTCCCCTGAACAAGAGATTTACCATGCCTATGCTGAGCCATTACCCATCAGTGGACCAGAATATGCAACGCCAATAGTGATGGATATGTCAGGTCACCCTGCAGCTCCTGCAGTTATTTCTTCTGTGTCTACATTCAAGGCTTCAGGGAATCAAGCACCTCCCATAGTGGGAGCTTACAATAAACTTGTTTCCAGGGCAGATAGCTCATCACCATCATGTATACTCTATGATACCCCCAAAGGGATGCCAGGAGTCAGTTCCTCTGATGAATTGGTATACCAGGTGCCACAGAACTTGCCACATTCCACAGGAAGTAGAGAAGAAGAAGTTAGTTAAAATGACTTTAAAAATTTAAATCCTTGGGAAGTGATGTCAGAACTTTGTGTTGAAGAAAAATGTGAGACTTTAGTCCTAGAAAAAGATGAGTCAGCTGCCCCTTTGTGGGTCTATATACAACTACTGCTTTCCTGTTCATAAAATGATGGGCTTTCCCTTCGCTACTGATGTGCACTGCATTCTATGTTAGACAGGTGTGAGAAACTTAAAAGATGCCTTATCACTGAGTGCTAATGTATATGTCACTGCAGTTATAAATTTGTCCAGAACTCCTCATGTATGGCCTGAGTGCCAAGAAAAGGAAAGGTACTTTTCTGGACAGATAAAACGTCTTTGAAGGCACTGATGCTAGCTTGCTAGTATTTCAAATATATGAACTAAGTTCAGTTTGACTCCCAACTACAGTACCTACCCATTCGAATGAATGTGGTTTGTTGGTCAGCACTAATGTAAGTCAAGAGTTCTACTGCAGTTTGGACACAAAGTAGATTTAGTTTACTGTTTTAACAGATGGACCATCTAACTGGTAACAAAGTATTACCTACAATCTCTTTCAAGTCTTTGTCGTACACCAGCAGTCACAGACACTCCGTGTTCAAGGGGGCACCTTGTGAATGCAATTCTGCTTATTCCTTGAAACCCTGGGGCACTGTGCTATCTTTTTCATTGAGCCTGAAAAAATTCCAGATAGGTTGGGGCTAGAACATATTTTCCATTTGTCACCAAAGCCATATTTGTGTTTGGTATCAAATTTACCACAGCATCCTAGTTTGCTTGGATCACAAATTCAGTGGCCAGAGTCCTGTTGCCAGTTTACACACTTGTGTGAGGGAAAATCATGTTAAGTCTCGGAGCACACTGCCACTCATCAAGGAGGTGCTGATCAGGCCCATGCCCAGGAATGCAAGCAGCATCTTATATTAATCAGTAGCAGTACACCACCAAAACTGAATGTTGTTACTCTTAAACAAGCATAAATCACCATTAGATTTCTGGCAAGTAGGTGGCAAATGCTGATCTACAATATGACAATTATAAAATGTGATAAGGTATTTAGTGGTTTGAAGAACAGAAGTAGAGTAGAAATGCTAAGCATTACTTCATGGCTAAACCAGGCCTTATTGGAAGTCTCTTGGCAACAGACATTGCTCTGACAGCTAAAAATGTAATTATTTCCTCTAACATTAGAAAAACAGAGACCATTTAAATTGAACAAATGGCCAAAATCTTATTCCATAGTTACTCTGGTGTAACACAAATGGTGTACATTTTGGAAGTGAATTGTCTGAAGTTAAGAAATCACCACAGCCATTATCCGTTGATTACTGAGTCTCAAGACTCATTTGCACAACATACAGTGTCAATGGTGATTTCTTAACTTCAGGCAAGTCACCTCTGGAAATTATGCTGTTTCTGTTAGACCAGCATAACTACACAACATAATTTTTGCCATTTTTAAAAAAAGAATGTAGAAATATATTTGATTTTTAAAACCCAAGCACATGAAGATAATCTATTCTATATACTGTGTGTATACATCTGAGTGTACACCAGGGCTCCTGCACATCTGTATTTGTACAGCTGCTCCCAAGTATGGTATATTTCTATGCCTTAAGAAAAACATTTATACATTGACTACCTGGAGTCTTTAAAATGTGAAATCTGCTAGTCTTTAAATTAAATGTTGAAACAACCTTAAATATTGGCATTTAGTGTAATATGAGACACATCAAGATTGTTTGACCCTCCCAGGTTCTGTAAATTCAAAATTCTCTGTAGCTTTTAGTTCAGAATTAAAGGCACATAATATTCCGAATCCTAGTGAAATTATTTTTTCCAAGATTTATATACTTGAACCAGTTAGTGAGTTTATGCACAATAAAAATTCATAAAAGCTTAACTATGTAATTTCACAAACCAAACTCCCTCTTTGCCATGTTTAAATGCATATGACCAAAAAAAAGCACATTGGAAGAATGCATTGTTTTATTGCAGTATGACGTCACTGCAGTGATGATGCAGAATAGACAAGCATAACATCCCTCCATATGCCATAGCCCAGTTTTATGGACTTAAAAGTATTTTATAAATGCATTAATTCCAAAAGAACGTAGCATATTTTTCTTGTGGTCTTTATTACTGAATGCACAATATTTGAATCTAGCCTGATGGTAAAATTCATCCTGACAATCACTGTTGATAAACTGAAGGACAACATACTTGCCCAACACTCCCATTTTAGCATCATGGTAATGCTGGTCTCCTCTTATGCCCTTTTCCATTTATATTGTTGTTTTTATTTATAAAAGTGATACATAACTTATTTTTATTTTGTGACTGCGGTACACTAAGCTAAATATGTGGCCTAAGAAAACTTTCAGAATATGTGTATATAAAGAGTCTATTCTGTGGCCTTCTTTAATTCTTGCTTTGTTTGATCCAACTGATGTGGCTAAATCTCTGCTAGATTGGATTTATGAGATTTGTATGAATACCAAAATTATACTTCATCAATGTATCTATGTTATGTTTGCTAAACTCAGTTGTTCTTAACAAATTGGCATCATTTAAAATGAACGGTAGAGGGAGCATATGCTGATAACATTTCAAAAGTTCCTGATAGTATTTTATAAATAAAAAGTGGATTTTTTTGTTATTTTCAAAAACTGATTGAGTTTTGGAAGGAAAATGTAAGAGAGCAATTCAGAGGTTGAAGCTACGGTACTTGTGTGTCTTGCTCAGCTACTCATAGTCATGTTCTGTAGTTCCTGGGCCCTTGTCTTGGTTAAAGATTGGAGTTGTTTAGTTTGGTTAAATGGGGCAGACCAAAACAAACGTGAGAATATCATTTCAGTCTGACTACAGTTATTTTTATTGATTAACATTAAATATTTGATTTTTTTAAATTGGCATATGTTCACAAGACAGTTTGCCAGATAATAGATAAAATAAATCCAATTAAAGTAATGTTGAGCTATAAAATTAATAGCAGGAGAACAATCTTAGCTAATTTCCAAATGTCTGCTGGAATATATGCACCTAGATTTTACAGATGTTGTAAACTCTTCTTAAAATGGTCTGCTCAGATTGTAAACATACAGTAGCCTTTCTTTCTCTTTCTTTCTTTCTTTCTTTCTTTCTTTCTTTCAGAAAGTGAGAGTTTAACTTGAAATCAACTTTATCTCTGTGTGTCACCAAAGTTTTTGATTTTTGTATACTTGAGGTTTTGTACAAAATTGAGGCATACATGAAAGAAGACACTACCAAAAAGCCACTGTAGGTTGCCTTTCTGTCTCCTGCAGAAAAATGTGCATCCAGGGTGCTAGTTAAAAGTGCACCACAGACTTCAGTGCACACAGGTGTAAAAGCAAGCCACTCCTCACCAGTAAGTTGCAAAATGAATCTGACAGCACATCAAATGCTGGAACTATCTTAAAGTTACTGTGTGAGGAATTGAATGCATCAACATAAAAATGTCAGATGAAAACAACCTTCTTGATTTACAGCCCCGTACTTTAGAACTTAAGTTATTGATTCCTGAATGTAAAACACACAGCACAGACAGTTATTATGTATTTTGATTTTTGGTCCAAAGTTGTTATTGTCTTTGATAGGCTGATGCTAAGTATGTGCAGAAGGGTCTGTGTTATAGTGCAGGTGAGATGGGTACAAATAATGTTGAGTGGTTATTTACCTAGAATGTACTTTTTACCTCAGCATGTTCGGTAGTCATTTTGTATATGTATATGTTGCTAGAATTTAGATAATTTAGATAATTTTTATGTATGTGTTAAGAACTTTTAAATAAAATGCACAATGTGGAAGTGAGGCTTATTTGATTTTTTAAAAACATTCTTGCACAATATACATCAGGCAAAATATTCCATTTGGATAGACCAGCTCATGGATAGACCAGTTCATGAATGATGGTGAATCACGTTTTGGGTGGACACCTTTTGTTGTGCAGATAGAAGTATTTTGTATTTATACCAAGACTTCTTTTTGCAAATATGGAACCTTTGTATAAAGGAAGATGTTCATTCTCAGTTAGTGGCCATTTTAGTACAAAAATATGATTTTCTGTTTTATTTGATTTTCAGTGAGTTTACTTGAATTCATAGCATTATGAATAGTTCTGCATGAAAAAGAAGAGATCCTATAATCCAGTAATGCATTTAAGCAGCTCTAAGGTAGAAATTAGTAATATATGAGAGATTGTACTTTTGAAGGGCAAATAGCTGCTTTTATTATCTTCTACATGCCTTAATGCCAGCTATTTAGAATAGCTGATAACGATGGAACTTTTTTATTGGGATATGTAACCCTCTAGCTCACTCTGACCCTGAGTACAAATTAATATTTAAGGCTATCGTAGTAACAAGTCAGTCTCGTCTTATATTGACCGTGTGTACCAATAGTACCAATTCTGCTTCCTGTATCTTGAAAACATTTAAAAGAGAGTACAGTGAGGACATTTTGGTTTTTACAGTTATTTATTATTATTGTTATGTTAATAAATGCAGTGGTATGACAATGCCTAAGTCAATTGAAGCATTTGAAGATGTGCAAGGATGTGTCTTTAGATCAAAGCAGTAGTATTAAAAATCCTGATGTCTAATCCCTTGCTTGCCAGAGAGATTGCTCTTCAAATCATGTACAGTATCAAATAAACAGAACCATCCTATTACCACCTTATTTTCTTCTTGCATTTCAAATAAATTGCCATAATGATACAACCTGTTAGTAGAGTCAATGCACCAGTAACAGTGTACGCTATTCCCAGAAAAGGGTTTCTTCCTCCGCCCCATGTCACTGTTGACAGGACCACGTGTTTCTCTCCTTGGAACTTGGTAACTGGGAAATCTGATCAGATGATGTTCAGTTTCATTACCAATTTGGAAAATACAAATTAGTGTTGAATGCATAGCTAAGTAGGAGTTATATCAACTAGATAAGAACCATAAATTTAGATTTAGGCAAGTGCACTGGCAGGAGAGACTTCCAATCTCTCTGCTACCATGGCAGTAACTCAGCTCCCTCAAAATGCTACACAGTCAGGAGATTCCTGAAATACTGGGTGTGTGGGTGGAGGAATCTCCCCAGATCAGCAGAGGCAGCTTCAACAACCAGATACTTTTCACCATCTTGTCAGAACCTGGACCTAACCCGTGGTATTGAATACACATGGATTTTTGAAAGAGACATCTTCACACAAATAGGCAAAGTGTGTCTCTGGGCCTGTGGTCCCTACAATGGCTTTGTACCCCTAGGCTTTCCCCCTCCCAAACAAAGAAGGTACACTGCAACTTCTAGAAACTTCTAGGAATGGCAATTCATCTTTTAAATAGTTCTCAGCCCCCTATTGCATTCTTTAACGCCCATCAATATACTTACTCTTCAAGACTGGATGCAGGTACAGGTGAATGGGTTATAGGACAGTGTGTCTTTAGTTTTAAATTTACAGTACTCCCAAACACAACCTGAGTAGTTAAAAAAAGGTACAGTATTTGCTTCCTATCCACGTCATGTAAAGGGAAGAACAAAATCCAGCACAAGATTATGAATATAAGGGATGGAGATTATTTTGAATAGCCGAGGACAGGTAGGAAGGAAATTTATTTCTCAGCCAGTGCTGTCTCTTAACTTTCTCCCACATAAATGCAGAGTTGCCATTTATCCCCTGTGATTAAAAGGAAGGATGAGAATTGTGCAGCCCACAGAAGCCTTCTGTATAGCTCCTAGAGTGTGATAGCATATCATCATTGTCACATCACCATTGATATGAGGAGGAGGAGGAGGAGGAGAAAAAGAAGACAGGTCCAGTGGTCTCTGGAAAATGTAAAGCAATATTTAATTAGTATTTTGGAGCTCCAGCACCTCAAAAAAGCTTCAATTAGCTTTAAAACGGGTGATTTAAAAATGCACATATTCAGGGTTGTGGTAAATGCTGATGCAAGTGTGGTCCCCTAGTTGTCCACTCCCATCACTTGCAATCTTGTCCACTGTACCAATAAACGTTTGCCTTATGGACTGTTATGGCTTCTATGTAAGCAATTTGCATTTGAACATTTGAGTTTATGAATTAGACATGCTGGCAAACCATGGTTCAATTAAGCCAGAAAATTTCTGCAGAATGCTGTGGTTGGCTTCTAACACAGGAAAGTAAAGAAATAAGTACAGTGGTGCCTTGCTTAACGATGTTAATTGGTTCAAAAAAAACCGCTATGGGAAAACATCGCTAAGCGAAACACAATTTCCCATAGGAATGCATTGAAAACCAGTTAATCCGTTCCAATGGGAACGGATTGCCGTCCTTAAGCGAAAATCCCCATAGGAAACATCGCTAAGCGATACGTTTCCCCCATTGGAATGCATTGAAGCTGGTTTTGCGATGTCTGGTTTTGCAATTTTAAGTGTGTCTTAAAAGGTTCAAAACGGTTTTAAATGCTTGGGATCCTTAGTGCACCTTCTAAAACCTTTGTGTGTTTCCCTGCTCCAGCAGGCGCCCTATCACACAAGTGATCACACAATTTCTCTCCCATTGGAATGCATTGAACTGCATCCTCTGCAGGTTTGACAGTTCAATGCAAGGCTTGGAACAGGATCCTAGCTGGAGCACAGGGATAATTGTGTGTTTCCCTGCTCCAGCAGGCTCCCTATCACACAAGTGATCACACAACTGACTGCACAAGTGATTTTGCAAGAACTGCAAGACAAGGTATGCAAATGTGAACCAGCAAGAACAAGGGCAATGCTCTCATGATCATATAATACCACAAGGTACTGACCTTTGAATTGGTTCCCCCAACAGACTGGTAGCCAATGAAGCTGCTGTAACAATGGGAGTCACCTGCTTCCTTTAATCAACCTCTGCCAACAGCAGTCTGGCTGTAGCATTTTGGACCAGATGTTTCCCAACACTATTCAAAGCGAACTCCACAATGCATGTTATAAAAGCCGCAACAGAACACAACTATTTGATCAATTTCCAACATTTTCAGGCTCTGTTGCAATTGGTGCACTAACTCTACAAAGACATACCTGGCCACTGTCAAAACCTGGTTATCTGGCCTCTGTAGAGAATTCAAAGGTACATACAAACTCTGAACCCAAGTCCTCAAGGGCGGTTTAGCCCCATCCAAACACTGGATGAATCCCTAGTTCCTCCAAGTCCCAACCTGGATAGACACTCAAAAAGCAACCATGGTCAATGGCACTGGAAAATGCCAAGCAGAATCATTAGGAGATCCAGTTCCTAGGATAGATCATCCACCAAGTAAGCTAGTGACTTCATAAGGAAAAACTGCACCATCTGTAGCATATCACTAATTTTAAGGAGCTGCATCTTGTTGAATCGAATGTGTGTGCATGCGTTGCTAATGGATGTGTATGCATTTGGTATCTAGCATCAAATCTCTAGTATGTGGAAATTTTAAAGCTTTTCTGCCTGCCCCCCCGACATACTTAATACAACAGTACTCAGTACGCAGTCTGCAAAGGCGTACAGCACTGGTTTAGGCTGATGTATAACAATCACAAAGCACATTAAGTATGAAGAGTAGAATGGTAAACCTAGGAAGCAAGTAAGATCATACAGAAATAAAGAACAAAGAGAAGCAAAGAAAGATGATGAGCTGTTGGGAGGACAAGTGTACAACCATTTTCCTTTTTGTATATCTATATAGGTGTGAATTTAGTAAAAACTAAAAAAAAACCCACCCAAATCCAAATTGAAATCCCAGCAATGTGGTGTGTGTGTTGATGGCTGACACCTCTCCATGCAGACATGGAAAACCTAAATCAGACTGTGCCCCTGCACCCTTACTGCACATAGTGTGTGCATTAGCCACTAGTATGAGAAATGCTTTTTAAGAACAGCCATGGCCCTTTCTGCAGTACTTTTTTTAGGTGGAGGTACAGTTGTTTGCTAGGAAGCAACAGCAGTTAGTATACAGGGAATGACTGAGGGTTGTAGACGTGGAAGAGAGTTGAATGAAGTAACATTGACTAGCTCTTTGACTTTCACAGTCTGTAGTTGCTTGTTGGCATGAGATTACAAGGTTACTATGGAAGGTAGTAGTTTTAGAAGAGGAAGGTGTATTAGTCTGTGCTAGCATTTCAGGCTAAACCAAAAGAAAATAAAAAATAAAGAAGGCAAAAACATTGTGGCATCTTAATGACTACCTGCTACAAGTGGGAGCTGATGTTATCTCAGTTGAATAACATTGCGAAGGATTAATGTATTTTCCTCCATGCAGCATCCTCCATATATAACAGACTACAAACTCCATCAACCGCACTCTTTGGACAATGGGGAAGAAGGGAATTGTAATATGACACACATGGAATGCAACAGGTTTGCAAAGGCTAGGTTACTGTGTCCTTCTAAAAGAACAGACTTGGAAGCCCCTAGACTAATCATTACATCAAGGAATACCACAGAAGCAAAAAAAAAAAAAAAAAAAAAAAAAGGTATTGGCTTTCTCTGCAGAGAAAAAAACCAACATATATTTTGTGTCTGTTGAGCACAAATCCATCAGGATCAAATTGTTGTCATCTTTCAGCTTTGGAACTGCAGAAGATCTGGTGGAAGTTCCTTATTTGGAGAAATCTGAAGTATATTGATTTGCCCTGATGAAGAGCTGTGGTCCGAAAACCTCAGAATATTCCATCACAAAAAACACTTAGCATTCATATATTGCTTCCTGTGTTTCCAATATATTATTATAGTAAACAGTAATTATTATAAAAGCTCTTTATGACAAGCCACTATTTTTATGCCCACAAGGCCGGTGCTGAGACTGAAAGAATCTAAGACTAACCAGTAACTTTATGAATGAGAGGAGATTTCATTCAGCCTTGCTGTGGAATAAGGCTCATTCTGTTGTCTAGTACTCTCCTAAATAAACTTTGTGAAAGAGAAATTGCAGCCCAGTTTGGCTGGCCAAGGTTCCCTATATCGCCCATGGAGGGTCCGAGGGAAATACTCCCCTGTGCAGGGAGATTCCTCCATGCCCCACTGCCCTTTCCTTGGAAAAGCAAGAGATATGCAGGGGAATGCTGCCATTATTTTCAATTACAGATCACAGGTAATGTGCCTCCCCTAATGGAAGAAGGTGCCTGATGGAGAAGAACGTAGGGGGGAAAAAAACCTCCCCAGACAAAAGGAAAGGAGATGAGATCAAGGTTTTGATCAAGTCCTCTGGTATCATGCAGTTCATCTGGCCAAGAAACCCACCCCCCAAACCCTGCCTTTAGGGCTAACTAGTGCTACTCCTGTCCTCTGAAGATGCCCATGGCCACAGAGACTGGTGAAACATTAGGAAGAACAACCTTCAGAACGCGGCCAAAGAGCCCGAAAAACCCACGACAGCCATAACTAGTTATCCTTTGTCCCAAAATACAAATTCAATTTCATTATCAGTATCAGTAAAAATTTCCAGGAGAGGACTTTATGTAACATGCTGCTTTATTATAAAAGAAACAAACATGGACAACACAGATCTCTGTGGTTGCATTTTAAATCGAAAAGCAGCTTTAATGTGGCCAAAGATGATGCAGACTTGAGGAGGAGTTGAATTCAGCTACAAAGGGATAATTTAAAAGAGCCCCAGCTTCACAGAGCCTTCTCTACACAGTTCGATGAGTCCGATTTCCAGAAGTTCAATTGTTTCATTCCTTATCTGGAACGCGGCCATATCACAGATAAAAGCATTAGTATTATAGCATGATGTGCACCAATGTATTTATTTTGGGGTTTTTTTCCAACTTGACTGAAATGTTGCTTTCCTCCCATTTTAAATATTTAGAGAACACGTCTCATAACAATTTATGTGTACAACATTATGCATTAATAACTACATTAATTTACTCACCCTTCCAATTATTCACTTGCCTGTGGCAAAAAAGTTCTTTCTAAAACAACAGTCTACTGTTCAAATCACCCTGTGCAATATTTTGTATACAGGTGTGAGGATAAGCAGTCTACTAAATGTTCTTGGCCTTGTTACAGGGAACTTTATGCTTCAACCTGCTTGAAAGCTCATCATTGAAACATGTTTTGATTATTTCATTTTTTGCCAAGAAGCATATTCAATACAGCTCAGTTTTGTATGTGTACAGTAGTTGTTTTGTGAACAACTGCCATTATATTAATCTCATACTGGAAGATAGTCACCAGGGGGCACTGAATGTTCCTTAGAACTTTTCTACTCAGCTTTTCCTAGCAAGCTGCACAGTTCATTCTGAACACAGAGAAAATCAAATGGCTGCCTTGTATGGTGACAGACGCAAAGTCTTAAGTAAAACAAGGCTCAGAGAAAATTGATTCAGTAGCCAAAGGAAAAAAAAGACAGTTGAAGCAATATATTGATTATAAAGGGAGCTCAATACATTAAATCTGTTTCTGGCACAACAAAGAGCAAATCTACACTAAACAGTTATAGCAGCTTGAGACCACCATAAACATCGTGGCTCTATCCCATGGAAATCTGGATTTAGTAGTTTGCTGAAACACTCTGAATTCTCTGTTATATTTAGTGCATTCTTGAGAACTATAATACTAGAACTCCCTAGCCAAGAATCCCTACTATCTTAGCAAGCTACAAATTCAAGGATTGCATAGGATGGAACCATGTTAATTAAGACACTATCAAACCAATATAAATTTCTAATGTAGAAAAGTTGTCTGTGATGTTGATTTATTTACAGTATAAATCAGTATTTGTCACCAGTACCTGTCATTAACAGCAAAGCAGTTCACTGCACTGTTCAAACACAAACCAGGGGGGTTTGTACCAAGAAGTCTGTGCTTTGGATTACTTTGCTGTGATAAGATCATGTTTTACCTGAGAAACACTATAATACAATGTTTAGTGTTACAGGAGAAAAATTATTGTAAACTTGGCATTTGTTTATAATTTGTGCTTTCATAATTGTACATTTCTGTTTTTCTTTCAAATTTAATAAAAGAGAAAACAGTATACACAGGAGTTTAGCTGTAAAAAACCCCAACTCTCCTCCCAAAAAGCTGTCAGGTAAGGAGCTTTATGTTCAGCATCAGATGGTTTGTCATATTATGATTCAGTGTTTTTTTTAAACTTCGTCTACAGGTGGAGGGGAGGAATTAGCACAGCATAGGTTTAAAATCTGCTGTAGCAGATTTCATTCTGCCCTCTAGATTTACCAGATCATTGCGTTTTAAAACACTTTAGAGCTTTGGTGTAAAGGCTAGAGCTTAGAAAAGTTACATTTTTTTAGAGCACAACTCGCAGAATTCTAGGTCTGGGGAGATGTAGTCCAAAAGAGTAACTTCTCTAACCTCTGACATAATGAGGATCATACAGCATGTTACACTTTGAGGTACACACGTCAGTATCCTATAGCTTGTCTAAGTAAAGAGTAGACCCATTGGTTGGAATACTATTGGTGTTTGCATAAGGTTTGTGTAACTTGCTGCAGTACATGTTAACTCTGTCATATGATTAAGATGAATACCACTGAATCAAATACAGCATGTTACACTTTGAGGTACACACATCAGTATCCTATTGCTTGTCTAAGTAAAGAGCAGACCCATTGGTTGGAATGCTATTGGTGTTTGCATAAGGTTTATGTAACTAGCTGCAGTGCATGTTAACTCTGCAGCCAGGTATCTGACCAGTCATATGATTGAGATGAATACCACTGAATCAGTTCGCTGAATATTATGTTAGAATTAGAGTAAACCACATTGAGCTAATGGGTCTCTACTCTAGTTGAGATGAGCAACAAGATACTGGCCTTCAGCTGTGAGTCTTAACTGGCATGTAGCTGACAGACACATCTTTCAACAAATGCCACAGGGGAGCACAAATAAATTCATCAGGGAATCAAGACTGGCCACATCTCCCTGCAGAGGATATATTTAATGATATTCCCAAGTTTGCCTCTGTATAATATGTGAAGTGGCCTTGAGTGTTGCAGTTTGTAAGTGGAAACCTAAAGTGATATGTTTTGTGTAAGAGTATCTATTTCACTTGTATTTCTAGAATATGGCATTTAAAATGTCATCTTAACCACAAGAATGTCTGCCTTTCAGAGAGAGAGATAGACAATTGTATTGTACCTCAGGGATGTCTACTAATCTTCTTAACTTCTGATCTCTCCAATTCCAGTCTAAGACGAGATACTTCAAGCCTGTCAGGCTAAGGCCATCTAAAGACATCACAGAAGGCATTTATTGGTAACATGACATGTTGGTATCAAAACAATCTCAGAGTGCTGCTATTTAAACTATGACAAACAATGTTTTCATATTTAGATCTGCCATTCTTAATTAACTGACTATGGCAAGATTTTGCAAACTGTTGGGTACGTAATCAATGCTATGCCTTTTTATTACTTAAACAGAAGAGCTGAGCAGCCACTGGCCTGTTGATACACACTATATGTGCCATTAATTACCATATTTTTCCGTGTATACGCCCCCCCAATGTATATGATGACCCCCTAATTTTGTCCCTTGCTGGAGGTGGAGAAGCAGTCAATGGGCAGCCGCGAGGGGTGGCCCAGCGCGGCTGCTCCTTGCCTCCATCTCCTGCTGCCTCCACCGCCCAATCACTTCCTCCAGTGCCACTCGTAGGCTCCTTTCGGGCAGGGGACAAGGCGGCAATGAGAGCTATAGGTGAACCTTCGCAGTCGAACTGGAGGAGATGATCAGGCAGCAGTGGCAGCAGCCAATGGGCAGCCACGAGGGGCTCCACTTCCTTCCGTGTACAAAATGACCCTCAATTTTTCCTCTAATAATTTTAGGAAAAAAGTGTCATTTTATTCACGGAAAAATATGGTAATTACTCAGATTTCAGCTTTTAAAAAAACTGCAGGGTTGGGCTTTTATTACATAGATGATTTGTTATGGATTTGTTATAAATCAGTTTTCTGTGCTTTTTATGCACAAGAAGTACATCATAAACAGGATTATGATAAATATATAATGCTGGATCTTCTTAAACCAGGCCATCGTCTACTTTGAACGAATTCCTGCTTTAACAGCAATCAAGCTGAACATTACCATCACTGGTTGTTGTGGGTTTTTCGAGCTTCTTGGCCGTGTTCTGAAAGTGGTTCTTCCTAACGTTTCGCCAGTCTCTGTGGCCGGCATCTTCAGAGGACAGCAAACTGTGCACAGTTTGCTGTCCTCTGAAGATGCCGGCCACAGAGATTGGCAAAACGTTAGGAAAAACCACCTTCAGAACACGGCCAAGAAGCCCGAAAAACCCACA